CCATCACTACCTCTACCATCACTACCTCTACCATCACTACCACTACCATCACTACCACTACCATCACTACCACTACCATCACTACCACTACCATCGCTACCACTACCATCACTACCACTACCATCGCTACCACTACCATCACTACCATTACCTTCAGTACTAGTATTACTACCTCTACCATCACTACCTCTACCATCACTAACACCACCACCCCCCACAGGTACTGACGGCGCGCTGCTTCGCGGTGTACCGCCCCATCATCACGTCGCGGGTGAACTGGGTGCAGACGCTGGGGTTCGCGCTGCTGGCGGGGGTGCTGTGGTACCAGGCGCCCCGTACCGAGGAGGGCATCACGGACCTGCAAGGCTGGATGTTCTTCTCCACATCCTACTGGATGATGCACAGCCACTTCCAGGCCCTCAATACATGTCAGTCTTCCGTGCTAGCCATGTATTTAGCCCCTACACTGTCGTCTGTTGAAATAAACTTTGTTGATAATCTTGTGTGTGATTAAGTCCTAGTGATAGCCAACGTTGATTATCATTAGATATGAACGCTGTCATCGAATGCGGTATTTTCACCCATTATTTGTACTTGCATCACTGGTCCATAACCGTTATAATGTTAATCGCTTGGGTATTTGGTTTAAATGCATGTCTTTTGCGATCCTCCCGCGTGATATCGATCAATAAACGAACTTATGACTGGTAACTTTAACCACGGCAATAACACTTACTGTGTACATTTTTTGCAGTATTATAATTAACTTATGGTATAATTAACAACCGACCCTGCCAACAGTCCCGCGAGAGAAGGCGGTGCTGGAGAAGGAGCGGGGCAGCGGCTGGTATCGCATCAGCGCCTACTACATCGCCAAGACCCTCAGCGAACTTCCCCTCACCATAGCCCTGCCTTCCCTCTATTTCATCATCTCATACCCTCTGATGGCAGGCGTGTCCAATGCCCTCGTCATGCTGCTGCTTCTCCTTATGCTTCTCCTCAACGCCCTCGTGNGATAGGTATAAAGTTACATATTGGATGAAAAAAATCCGATAAATAGGTATAAAGTTACATATTGGATGAAAAAAGTCCGATAAATAGGTATAAAGTTACATATTGGATGAAAAAAATCCGATAAATAGGTATAAAGTTACATATTGGATGAAAAAATTCCGATAAATAGGTATAAAGTTACATATTGGATGAAAAAAATCCGATAAATAGGTATAAAGTTACATATTGGATGAAAAAATCCGATAAATAGGTATAAAGTTACATATTGGATGAAAAAAATTCCGATAAATAGGTATAAAGTTACATATTAGATGAAAAAAATCCGATAAATAGGTATAAAGGTTGAAAACTTGGACATTGGATGAAAAAATTCCGATAGATAGGGATAAAGATTAGAAACTTAAAATTGGATGAAAAAATTCCGATAATTAGGGATAAAGATTAGAAACTTAAAATTGGATGAAAAAATTCCAATAAATAGGGATAAAGGTTAGAAACTTAGAGAGAGATTGGGTGCAACCTGTAGCTTCTACTATAAGTAGGCTCTCTGTAATATGTTGGTACTGCAGACTAATGTCTTTTCTTCACTGAAAATTAAATGTTCAAATTGAAAGTTATATTTCGGGACCTTGAATATGTATTAATGACTGTAAAATACATTTTTGTTACATGCACGAGTACTTTTTAATCGAGAATACTGACTCGTACCCTTATTCTAAAGAACGAAAGGTCCATTCGTAACCTCCCAACCGAGTTTTGTTCCAAGTTATAATATCGTGCGTAATACAGTTGGTAAAAATCGTTTAAACAAACGAGAAGTTTTGTAAAAGCCAACTCCATGGCCCAGTATAAATAAACTAGTTGAAAATTAATCAATTTCTTCTAAATTAAGAATATATGGGTAAATTTTCAATGCAATGTTTAGGCTCGGGAAAGACGACATTGCTGAATGCTCTGAGCGGCCGAGTGCGGTGCGAGGGCTCCGTCTGGCTGGGGGAGCGGCCGCTGTCACGCAAACTGCGACACCTCGTGGGTTACTCCACCCAGCACGACCTCTTCCACCCACACCTCCGTCTGCGCCAGATGCTCCAGGTGCGAGATTTATATGATTTATTATATACTATATTCTCCTGTAATCTTTTCTGGTTCCACCCACACATCCGTCTGCGCCAGATGCTCCCGGTGCAACATTATTCTCCTGGGCCTATACTATCAAAAAAAGTTAAGAGATCGTAAGTTCAACAGCCAATCATTGACGGCCTTTCAAGCAAAATCTACCAATCATAGACAAGAAAATAGAGCGTAAGTACTTACGTTCACTTAGCGAGTCTTGAAAGTATGGCCCCAGATATGTCACTTTATCATCTTTCACCATAACGCTTATATCTGCATCACTTATATTTAATAACCATTTGATTTTTTTGTTTCAAAAGTAACTATACTTTTGAAATAAAAACTGAGTACATAAATGCCATTTGGTTTCATCATTATTCATACTTAGTTATCTGTGCTACCGCATAAATACCATTTATTTTCATCATTACCCATACTTAGTAATCTGTGCTACCGAGTATAACAGTGTACATTTGTCGCGCAGTTCAAAAAAATTAGTATAATATGTATGTTCGTGGCTCGTGCTGATTTTTTATTAAACCTTGTTCAACAAATCCTTTATTATACCATTTGTTTTCATCATTATCCATACTTAGTACTGTGCTACCGAGTATAAGACAGTACATTAATTAATTATTTGTGGTGCAGTTCACCGCGGAGCTGCGGTTGCCCCACGCGATGTCGCAGGCGCAGAAGGTCGCCGCCGTGGACGCCGTCATCGACCTGCTCGGCCTGCAGCACTGCCAGGAAACCAGTCAGTCCTGCCGTCCTGCCGCGACATTATCCTCTCATGCAGGATGCGCCATTATCATCCATTTTAGTCTCTTAATTATATGTCATTATCACACATTTTTCTTATCACCATTATCACCCATTTCTCTTATCACCATTATCACCCATGGGCCTGCAGCACTGCCAGGAAACCAGTCAGTCCTGCCTTGACATTATCCTCTCATGCAGGATGTGCCATTATCATCCATTTTAGTCTCTTAATTGTCTGTCATTATTGCCCATTTCTCTTATCACCATTATCACCCATGGGCCTGCAGCACTGCCAGGACACCAGTCAGTCCTGCCATCCTGCCGCGACATTATCCTCTCATGCAGGACGTGCCATTATCATCCATTTTAGTCTCTTAATTGTCTGTCATTATCGCCCATTTCTCTTATCACCATTATCACCCATTTCTCTTATCACCATTATCACCCATGGGCCTGCAGCACTGCCAGGAAACCAGTCAGTCCTGCCTTGACCTTATCCTCTCATGCAGGACGTGCCATTATCATCCATTTTAGTCTCTTAATTGTCTGTCATTATTGCCCATTTCTCTTATCACCATTATCACCCATTTCTTTCATAGTCTCTTTATTGCCGGCCATTATCTTTAATTTAAACCAGTTCATTGCCGGCCATTATCTTTTATTCTAATTTGTTCATTGCCGGCCACCATCTCTTATTCCATCAATTTCATTGAAAGCCATTATTATTTACTCCAGTCTATTCATTGCTGGCCATTATCTTGCCGTGACGCTCAATACTCGATGGAAATTTCAAAATTGTCAACATCGTTCATGTCATCAAGATGAGTTATGATGCGTTCGCCAGTTATCGCAGTTAGTCATCGTTCACCATTGTCCTCCGTCAGCTATTGTACTTTCTCGTTAATCTGAATAGTTTATTCTACATTTTAACATCTTGTACATAAAAGTTTCTTTTGCCAAATGTTATTATAATAGGTGTGTCGATCTATTGCCTCATACTTTATTTTCTCATAACCTGAAAAGCTTATTGCATATTTTTATACATATAAGTTTCTTTCACCGAAGCTTTTAATATTAGTTAATATTTATCATTGTCACCCCTCGCTATTACAATCTATTGCCTCTTACTTTATTTTCTCATGATCTGAATAGCTTATTGCATATTTTTAAACCTAGAGGTTTCTTTTACCGAAGCTTTTAATATTTGTTAATATGGTAATTATCATTGTCACCCCTCGCTATTACAATCTATTGCCTCTTACTTTATTTCTCATTATCTGAATAGCTTATTTGAACATTTTTGTACCTATAAGTTTCTTTTATCGAAGCTTTTAATATGTTTTAATATTTATCTCTGTCACCCCTCCCCATTATTCACCCCTCATATGCAGTCATCGGGGATGCCACGGTCAGAGGGACTGTCGGGCGGGGAATGTCATATTCTGATAAGCTTATTGCATATTTTTGTACTTAGAAGTTTCTTTTACCGAAGCTTTTAATATTTGTTCGTATTTATCTCTGTCACCCCTCGTAACTATTCACCCCTCATGTCATCCTCCCCTCTTGCAGTCATCGGGGACGCCACGGTCAGAGGACTGTCGGGCGGGGAGCGTAAGCGCGCCTCCATAGCGTGCGAGCTGCTCACGGACCCGCCCGTGCTGGTGCTCGATGTGAGTATTCTTAGAATAGAATAGAATATAATAGAATCGAACATGAATATAATAGAATATAATAGAAGTGTCGGCACTGAAGAAATAGACCCATGGCCTGTTGCCGATTCTTGAATTTTTCGTGACTTGATTCACAAGGGATCCGGCCTTATGAACCCGATCTGTCCATAACTGACGATTGATTGAGATAGCTGCTGGACTTATTGCCTAGTCCGTAATTTGCTAGGCATTTTAAGACTGAACATATATGCTCCTGCATTGCTTCGTCTGGACTTATTGCCTGGTCCGTAATTTGCTAGGCATTTTAAGACTGAACATATGCTCCTGCATAGCTTCGTCTAGTCTGTTCTTGAAGGCGTTCATACTTCTTGATTTACTTATATTTATTCCAACACTTTTCTCTTCAACTTCACTTCTTGTTTGTTTGTTTGTTTCCTACTACAAATCTTATAATCGATATTTAACACACTTCTACCTGTCCCATCGATCTGAAATTTTGCACACTTGCGTAAAGTTGGAGACAATACATGAATCAATTTAATGAATCAATCAAACAGAATAAGTAATTAAAAAATGTTGAGAAATTTTTTATGTATATTTGAAAAAATTGAAAAAATGTATTTTTTTTATATTTAAAAATAAGTTAAGAAATTCATTGTACATGTGTAACATCGGAGACACTGGCTTCTTTAGAAGTGTTGTCTTTTGAAAAGTAATTTTTAAACGCATATTATTCATGTTACATCTTTGAAGCATGAGTGAAGTAATGTTGGAATTTACTTATTTACTTTTATTTGTTCAAGTTACTTATAATTAGCAAGGTTGAACTCGAATCATCTCGGTAAATGATTCAACTTATTTCTTATTCTTCTAGTCTTCTTCCATTAACAAATTAACATCAGTAACTAATCACTCGATTTTCTTAAATTAATACCTAATTGAATAAATCTTGAAGCCTGCTGTAAGATATCTTCGATATCTTACTTCTGTAATATTTATCTACATTTGACATGCATCATTCTTAATATCATCGTTAAACTCGCTTGAAAAGGATAGTGATCAGTTTTAGATGATTGATGGGCAGTGTTTGATGTGTTACCTCCTCAGCACTCACTCCCTCAGCACCCACTACCTCCCTCAGCACCCACTCCCTCCCTCAGGAGCCCACCTCAGGGCTGGACGCCCACGCGGCCCACTCCCTCATCGCTAACCTGAAGGCGCTGGCGGTGCAGGAGGGGCGCGCCGTGGTGCTGTCCCTCCACCAGCCCTCCTCCAGGATTTTCCATATGTTGGACACCGTCCTGCTGCTGGCCAAGGGACAGGTCATTGTTGCCTTCACTTTGTTACCGTATATATCTTTGTTACCATATCGTCTTTATTATCATATCGTCTTTGTTATCATAGCATCTTTGTTACCTTATCGTCTTTGTTGCCATATCGTCTTTATTATCATATCGTCTTTGTTATCATAGCATCTTTGTTACCTTATCGTCTTTGTTGCCATATCGTCTTTCTTATCATATCATCTTTGTTATCATATCATTTTTATTCATATCCTCTCTGTTATCATATCATTTTTATTATCATATCCTCTTTGTTACCATATCGTCTTTATTATCATATCGTCTTTGTTATCATAGCATCTTTATCATATCGTCTTTTATTACCTTATCGTCTTTGTTGCCATATGATCTTTATTAACCTATCATCTTTGTTATGATATTATCTTTGTTATCATACCATCTTTGTTACCATACCATCTTTGTTACCTTACACTTTTCATAGTACAAATTATAAGCCTGACGACATATCCAACTTGCAGCCCGCGTATCTTGGCCCCAGCGGAGACGTGGCCCCATACATGGCCCAGCTGGGCCTACCAATCCAGCCGAACTACAACCCTGCGGACTTCTTGTGTAGGTTTAAACACGTGCCTTGTGGGCCCTTAGACCGGCCTTGAGCCTTTTCAACGTGTCTTTGATGCCTGTGTGCTATGAATAGTCAAATATACAGCTGGCACGCATATAGTACCGTCAACTGGGGTGACTTCGGCCGCCGGGGTGACTTCGGCCGCCGGGGTGACTTCGGCCGCCGGGGTGACTTCGGCCGCCGGGGTGACTTCGGCCGCGTTTTTTTATTTTGTTTTGCAACCAAAAGCGGGGTCATAAACGATGGCCAAAGTCACTCCGGCGTTTATGACCTGGTTTACGCCCCTGGCGTTTATGACCTCGACGTTTACGACCCCGTTTTTGTTTGCAAAACAAAATCAAAAATGCGGCCGAATTCACCCCAGTTGACGGTATTTAAGTAGACGAATATATAGCTGGCACGCATATATGATTGTAGTAGACGGATATAGCTGGCACGCATATAGGTAGTATTCTAGTAGACGAATATAGGTATAGCTGGCACGCATATGACGAATATGATGGTGGCAGACGAATAGGATTGTCAAGTTTGATGTAAAGATCAGATCTGAAATTAATTAATTTACGTCGTGCAGTGGAAGTGGCCACCGAATACTCTGAGCGTCTGATACGTCACTACTCGGAGACGCATCGACCAGGCAACGTCGTACGTCAGTCCAAGAACCCTCCTCCGTGGGTCTTCCATCAACGTCTCTCGTCACTCTCTGCGTCGCAATCCAAGCCCATTCTACGCACCGACGTTGACGACGAGGATGCTTCGTCGTCTCATGAACGTCTGGACGTCGGTCAGGAGCTTCCAGATTACCGGGACTTGCAATATTCGAGGCTCACGAACGCGAACGGTTATCCGCACTCCGTCGTTATTGACGTTCCGGATGAACGTTTGACGCAGCGTTTAAGCAACGTTCAACGCTGCGCATGTGGAAATATCGTTCAGTTATCTCTCGACGTTCTCCCATCAGTCGATGGCGAGAACCATTGTTCAGAAATTATTAGTTCCCCGTATCCCATAGACTTTTCGCCATCATCTACTGTAAGATTTCCGTCGGAAATCGCCGTTTCTAACCTCGATTACGAGTCTTCAGCACACCTCTTCGTTTGCGATGACTGCATAAAAATGAAGAACCATCAGCATCTCATCCACGATGGGCGAGATCGTGATTTAGTGGACTCGAGAGGAGGTCTTGACCTGGGGGATGATGATAGTGAACACCATCATGATCTGCAGAGATCTTCTTCTTTCCGAGGATTTAATGTCATTAGATCCTTGCCTGCTCCTCTGTCGGAGGATGCTTGTCTTAACAGTGAGTGTTCGGGGAGATCTGGCCATAGATATGGTAATCTTGGAATAAAGATGCCGTTAATACAATGGTGAACAATGATGCCGTTAATACAATGGTGAAAAATGATGCCGTTTATTGAAAGTATTTATTATATTATTTATTTATTGGAGTACTAGTAATTTATTTTATTATTGTATTGGCCATAGATATCTTGCTAGGTAAATAAAAATTCCGTATATATTGTAAACTTGACCATGAATCACTGCTTCTGTTTCAAAGTAGACATTTATTTATTTGCTGGTGTTTCATAAGCCATCATTAAACTTAATGCTCACTCCTCAGAGGGACCGGGGAGACCGACAGACGAGGCCCCGCGGGGCACTTTGCCCGACACGCGCACCACCAGATCCGTCAAGCGGGGTACGTAGCCCTGCTACATCATTCACTTGTGTCGCCCTGCTACCTCTGTCACTTAAGTCGCCATTGCTAAATCATTCACTTAAGTCGCCATGGCTACATCAGTGCCGCTTGAATCACGAAATCGAAACAACTTTATTATTATTACGTGGGAATCGAACCCCATAAATTGCAGCTCAGACCAGTTTGAGTTTTTATTGACATTTAGCGAGTTTATTGCAGTATTCTCATCATGACGTCCCATGTAACGTTTCACGTGTCCCAGCAGACGAGAGCGACAGCGGCCGTGAGTCGTGCAGCAGCGACCACAGCGACGTAGCGTCGTGCTCCGCGGCCTCCGTCGCGCCCTTCGCGTCATCGCGACGTCACTTGCGTCTCTACGCCGCCGACGCGCGCTGGCCTGCGTCGTACTGGACCCAGTGTCGGGTAAGGCAACCTGCTGGAGCAAGGATTGTTTGTTATTGTAATATAATTCAAACCTGACCTGTATAATTGAAACCTGACCTGTAATATATGCGCGCTGCTTCGCGGTGTACCGCCCCATCATCACGTCGCGGGTGAACTGGGTGCAGACGCTGGGGTTCGCGCTGCTGGCGGGGGTGCTGTGGTACCAGGCGCCCCGTACAGAGGAGGGCATCACGGACCTGCAAGGCTGGATGTTCTTCTCCACATCCTACTGGATGATGCACAGCCACTTCCAGGCCCTCAATACATGTCAGTCTTCCGTGCTAACCATGCACTTAGCCCCCTCCATGCTAGCCATGCACTTAGCCCCCTCCATGCTAGCCATGCATTTAGCCCCCTCCATGGAGGGGCTACTGGATGATGCACAGCCACTTCCAGGCCCTCAATACATGTCAGTCTTCCGTGCCTGTCATGCATTTAGCACCTGCACTGTCGTCTGTTGAAATATTTGTTGATAATCTTGTGTGTGATTAAGTCCTCGTGATAACCAACGTTGATTACCATTATACATTATATACCCACGCCGTCATCGAATGCGATACTTACGCTCATTTCATCACTGGTCCATAACCGTTATAGACCAGTGATGCAACCGTTAACGGTTATGATGTTAATCGCTTGGGTCTTTGGTTTAAATGCATGTCTTTTGCTATCCTCCTGCGTGATATCGATCAATAAACGAACTTATGATTAGTAACTTTAACTACGGCAATAACAGTTAGTGTATAATTTTTTTGCACTATTATAATTAACTTATGGTATAATTAACAACCGACCCTGCCTACAGTCCCGCGGGAGAAGGCGGTGCTGGAGAAGGAGCGGGGCAGCGGCTGGTATCGCATCAGCGCCTACTACATCGCCAAGACCCTCAGCGAACTTCCCCTCACCATAGCCCTGCCTTCCCTCTATTTCATCATCTCATACCCTCTGATGGCAGGCGTGTCCAATGCCCTCGGCATGCTGCTGCTGCTCCTCATGCTTCTCCTCAACGCCCTTGTGGCTCAGGTTAGCAACTGCCAGCTCGCGGTGGGATTTAGATTTTTAAAGATGTTTGTGCCTTGGTTACCACTGTACATATAAGGAAAAATGAAATGAAATTTTGTGTTCCAGAAGAGTGTTCCTGTGAACAAGATGTGAATGTTTAATAAACAGTAAAACTGTGCAGAAATTAAATGTTTCGTTCAACTCTGGTGTCATAACGTACACTGCTGACAAGAGATGTAAAAAAATGCAGTTGCATACACAACGTAATTATGAACGTAATGAAGGTTTACGCTTAAGCAGAACGTCGGGCTGCTGGTGTCGGTGACGTTTTCTGAAATACCCACTGAAACGACGATATAAATAATTTAAGAGCGTTCATATAATTTGTAAGCACGCTTATAAATTATTAACGAAGTGAATTATACGTTTGAACAGAGCGTGGGACTGCTGGTGTCGGTGACGTTCTCGGACATTGAGCACTGCTGGGCGGTGAGTGCCCTGATCACGCTCTTCCAGCAGCTGTTCGGAGGCTTCCTCTCCACGCGCGTGCCTCCATGGATGGAGTGGGCGCGCTACCTCTCCATGGTGCAGTACGCCTACACCAACATGTGCTACATCGAGTTCTCCATGGGGCTCCCTGTCGCGTGAGTACTGTCGAGTCTCGTTTCTAAAAGATTCCTTTTCAACAAAATATTGATTTTTAGAATTTTTGAAACGTCAGCGCGGTAAATGCGCATAAACTGAATAATAGTATATGCAATAGTATTACGGTGTCAACTGTAATTAAGCTGTTAGATTTTTCGACGACTCTCAAACTCGCAAAATATTCATAGCCTCTTGGCCGATTAGACCAGATCAATCGCAGAAAGACGGGATCGAACCCACAACTTTTTTCTCCAATCTTGGTACTCTGAACTGTAACCACTGAACCACCCTACCCAGAAACACAATTGTCCTGCAAACTCACTACGGTACTTTTCAATTAGTTCTACCAAGAACAGCACAAATTAATCAGACACAAGGACCTCATTGAGCGAGCATTTTGCGCTATACGAAAATTTGCGTTCTAAGTTTCAAGTCACAACCAAAGAATTGAAGAATTCTTTTTCATCTGATCCGTAGCCGTCTTACTCCTAAGTTCTTAAAACCAAGACATAAACCAAAGACTGAAACTCTTGCCTAGATTAATCGTCAGTCAGCGTTCTACAGTTCTTCCTGTACCTGTAGGTGCGCCGCCGAGCTGTCACGGTATCCGTCCTGCGCGTCGGGCAACACAACCGTCGTGCCCGTCGCAGAGATCCTCGCCTCCACCGGCGTCTCTGGGTCCTCTATAGGCCCCTCCGTCGTGTGGATGAACACCGCAGCGCTGGTCCTGTACCTGGTGGTGGCGAGGCTCCTAACTTACCTTGTATTAAGATACCGATACCGTCCTAAGTATTAATAGTTAATTATTTAGGCGATGTTTGTTAGAGGTGCGCTATGTAAACCACGGAATGCTATCCGTTCTGAATCATCTCATGGCTTCTTAGTCTCAGGATATTCTTCATGATCAGGATTTTCTGAAATTATTTTGGATGAATTAGTCCAATTAATTCAAGGAAGAAATTCGAATTAAATCTCCAATCTAAATAAATTTCAATTAAATTTAGAATATTTGACTTTGAATATACGTTAATGAAAAAGTGCAACTGTTGAAGAATTTGTCTGTGAAGAAAGCGTCAACCACTGCTACAATGTATAAAACTTATCATTATTCAGATGCTATGCGATCCATTACTTAGGAACTCAATATGATATGTAAGGACCGCGTGCTTGTTTGTATATTTCTCAATAAGTACGGCTAAATTATAACTAGCCATTTATCAATTTTAATCGCCAATTTTAAAATCAGCACAAATAGGCAGTATATTGAATGTATATAAATTATCCCTTGCAATGATTGATGAATAGTTCCATGCTCGTGAGTGCAAAGTTTTCGGTTAAATAAAAGCTTGGATAAATGAATAATATCAAATCGAATAGTGTTGTACAATTTTAAAGGTTCGAACATTTTCATTATAGTAGCATAATAGCTGAGCGTGCTGTGAACTGCCAGCATGACGGTACGTCGAACTTTACTCTTAGCGACATATTCCGAACTTTGTGCTTGTTCAGGCGTGCTTGTTTCATTTGTGCGAGGTTCGCAATCGTATGCTTTTACGTACTATCGCCTTTAATTTTGGATTTATGTGCCCTCTTCGATCTTGCAGTGGCACATCGTTGCAACTCAGAATCTTGGGATTTGTTTGTTCACTGTATTTTGGAACAGAGGATCCTTTACGTTTCTTCCTCATTTCGTTATGTGAACCTAAGAATTTAGTGCGCTTCTCGCTTGCCATCATGGAACTAAGAATGTTGTACGCTTTTCACTTGTCATCTTGGGAACGAAGAATCTAGTGCGCTTTTTCACTTGCCATTGGAATGAAGAATCTAGTGCGCTTTTCGCTTGCCATCTTGGGAATGGAGAATCTAGTGCGCTTTTTNAAATGAAGAATGTAGTGCGCTTTTCGCTTGCCATCTTGAGAACGAAGAATCTAGTGCGCTTTTCGCTTGCCATAGAGGGAACGAAGAATCTTGTACGCTTTTTCACTTGCCATATTGGCAACTAAAAATCTTGTACGATTTTTACTTGCCATCTTAGGAATGAAGAATCTTGTACGCTTTTTCGCTATACGAGTCATCTTTTGAACTAAGATATATGTGCACTTATTCACATGCCATCAATGGGACTAAGAATCATTTTTGTACCTTCGGTCGCTATTCTTTTTGGAATGTATTATCTTTTCACCATTGTCTTGGCACCTCAAGTTCTCTGTTTAATCGTTATTCCTTGGTAGAAGCGCCTCCTTAGTATCCTTGAATTTAAGTTACCACCGAATTCGTAAAATGCAGTTGACCCGACGAAATCGTGATCAGGTAGGAACATGGCTGTGATTTTAGAATGTGTGTAGGCTTTCCATTAAATCTTATTGTAGTCTTATTATTATCGAAAATCTAGCCATGTCTTTCGAATGCATCGCTACCGCCAACTTTAATACCATAAAACGCAGCTATGTTTAATTATAACTTTCCGAAACTGCACAACTAACTGGTGACTTTCTTGGACTTTGAATAATCGTTGAATATTTGACTTTGCTGTGATATTTTGACATACGCGGTACCTGCTACCTCTCCGACTCGTGATCTGTGACCTAACTTCGACCCAGAATTCATCTCGTGAATTTAAAAGTTGTTGTACGTTGGCGGTGGCAGTGCCGGTGTTGGTAGTTCTGCGTTAGCGTTGTAGCTCCTCGAATTGTGCAGCACAAAATATTCCAACATTTAAATGAAGGCTGTTATTTGTGGTTATATTTAGAGGGCAATAGGGCAGTTCGTGTAGACCAAGAGGTACTGAGAGACCAATTGAAGTGATTCGTGTAAACCAAGAGGTAATATGTCACCAACTAGGGTAATTCGTGTAGACCTGAAGGTAATGAGAGACCAATTGAAGTAATTCGTGTAGACCAGTAGACCAAGAGGTAATATGTCACCAACTAGGGTAATTCGTGTAGACCTGGAGGTAATGAGAGACCAACTGAAGTAATTCGTGTAGACTAGGGGGTGATGAGAGGTTAACTGGAATAAATCTTGTAGATTAGGGGTAATGAGAGGTTAATTGAGGTAATTTGTGCTTTTAAAGGCAAATAGAGGGCAACTGTGATATTTTCGTGTAGAAGATTTTATGGTGATTTAGTTGCGAACTGGGATAGGTGACGGGTCCGGAGTATTGTGGGCAATTCGTGAAGTGAGTGAAGTGAACAAATTGGTGGAGTTTGTAGATGGTTTAGTGGTGATGCGGGGACGAATCGAAGCAGTTAGTGAAGATAGTTTGTGAGGCAAGTACTCGTAGTTCGGTACAGTACAGGTTTAGAAGTGATTCGGCGGTGCAGTTCGTGCTGATGGTTAATTGGCGAAGTACGATGAACTAACTTGATCCGTAAGGATGATGATACTGATGTAGGCCATATACAATTTTGGAATGATCCTGTAATCGAAAGGTAATGCTTTCTCTGCTCTTGTACATATTACGCCCTCATGGTGATAAATTTGTACAGTCGTTCAGATTAGTTATACCGTGTACAGAAAAAACGACGACTTCCCAAGAATATCATCTCCCAGAAATACAACTCATCAAGCCCCGATTTAATCACCCCGAGTTAAACATTCCTTCATAAAATAGTATTAAAAATTGATGAAAATGTAATGTATTCAACTCCATATTTTCATTTTTTTTCAGTGACCTAACGACTAAATTTTCAGTCAAATTCTGTGTCTAGGCATTGAGAGCGGCAACATGCGGCCACTTTATTCAGTAGCTTTAAGGTTCCGGTGCTAATATATTCACTAGCTTAGTTCGTAGAAATATCATGAAAAGCTGTTAACGTATTACGTAATTTGTAGAGGGCCTTCTGAAATTCGTATTCGTAGCTCGCCCACCCTGCCTCGGCGGGGTGAACAAAAATCATATTAATTAAAATTTTCATCAGAGTCTTTCTTCTGGAGGATAATATCCAAATCCTCCTAATTCTCCAAAAAAATCATATTGTATCATTTTGCAAATTGTATCATTGCATCATCATCGAGAACGATGCTTGTAACTGCGCCATCGAGATTTTGGGTCGCGCCCAACGTTGCTCAAATTTCCCATCATGGTAGATGATGCTGGTCTCTTTTGTACATTTTCTGTCAATTCTTCTCCCTTTTACATTCCGCTTCGTAGTTTTGTTTTTCATAAGTAATTAGTGTCATTCTTTTAATAGCTATTCCGCCGTTGCTGGTTCGACGGTCGCGAATGGCCTCGAATATTTTAATTTTCTCTGGAATAATTTGTTTACTATTTAAATGCTCTCGGTTTACTACTTAAACGGTTCGGTGCAAAGACTAGACCTCGAGCGTGTAAAATTCTGATCCAGCTTCCACTGAAATTCAAAATCAAACTTATTCGTGTTTAAACTTGTTTTTATATTTTCTTTTTAGAGACTTAAAAAGGTAATTAATAATAAATTATTGAAAAAACTTGTTCCCTTGTTTGTATTTCATCGTAGAAGAATGTTATTTGTGTCAAATATAAAAAAATTGTTGAAATTTTCTTGTTGAATATCAGTTTTTCATATTTAAAAATTTTTTTTCTTTCAGTAAGTGTTATTGCTTCTCCTCCCATCCTATTTGCTGCTTCAGTTAACGAATCATGTATTTAATAATAATAAAAGATGGGTCACGGAAAAGATGGGTCACGGGTGCTATATCTCAAGTCAGAACTCCGTTCCATTTTAGTGTTTAATTTTTATACGAATTTTTCAGAGGTGAATAAAGTTTGATGTGATTACCGGTAGCTGTTAATGTTCTTGTTGTTTTATATATATTGTGCGAGGTGAATTGAAGCGTCATCATGCCAATAAAAATAGTCCTTTCTGACCAATAAATTTATTACGAGTTTTTTCCTGGCTTTCATTTCGTACACGTGGCATGTCTTCAACATATGTCCAACATGTCTTCAACCTTTTTTTGACGCGCTGTTCAAGTTACCGTAAGCACTCTAACAACTTGAGATATAGATAAGAATCAGTAAGCTAATCAGTGACACTAAACGTGTCTAATTGAACAGCATAACTTTCAACTGTAACGCCCTGCTAAAACTTGTCTCAAGAAACAAACTTACATTCAACCGATAATTTTTAATTGAGATTTTTATATTCGATTGGATTTAGTCTGAAAATGATCAAGGATTATAAAGAATTTCGACGCTTAAAAGTCACTTGAGAAGTGACCATTAACTATTATTATTTTTATTCACTATTATTGATCACTGGACACGATTCATGAAGAATACGATTTTTAATGCCTTTACTCAGAGAAGTTAATGGGTCCTTTTGTCCAAATCGTAACACACTGTCTATATTTTATATCCAATTTTAGCCCATTGGTCGGGCTAAAATTGGTCATGATGACTAATTTTCACTGTTCCCTTTACCACGTTTTACTGATTTTCACTTTCAGAGCTGTTAAATTGTTAGGTACCAATTAAACCCAGTTTAGGCAAGGGGCTTTATGGACTAGTTTCCAGTGCTCCTATAAGAATAAATAAGAAAGAAAGAATTTTATGCGTGGACTTAAATTCCCGATCATGCGGCGCGAAAATCGATAGAAACATCGCCGGAAGACGTAGTCCAGTTTCAATACTTCGGTTAAGGTCCATAATTATGCCTTCATTTCCAAGGTCCCGGATCTCATTCATTCCTGGAATTTTCAGTATATATTAACGGCCTGGACACGTGCATGCACGCGGTAATAAATGTGGGTCAAAACCCTGCAGTGTACCAGCGCGAGCAAGTATAGATTGAAGAAAGTATTCTTTACATGAAATTTAGAATGCGAATCCCACCTCAACTCACATTTATAGCTGAATTATAGAAAAGGGATCTATTGTTTAGGGTCAGATCTACTGTGTTAAGCGTCAATATGAATGGGTGTACATTTTAAAGTGCAACACATTGATTAACTTAAACATTGTATGATTTCCGAATAAAGATATGCATTTGTACCTTATATTCATATTCTTCAGGTTTATTAACCCAGATTACGAGCATGGGAAATTAGTTATAGCATTGACGAGGCTAATTCAATATATTTTCAATTTCGCTTATGTATTAACACTTAATTGAATTCTAACAATTTGTAGAAGGTTTTCCCGGTTAAGTGCATTGGATATGTTAGTAACAAGGATACAAATTTCTTCCGTATCTACGGTCAGCCCTCGTGGATATGACGTCAACCTTTCATGGGGGTGGGATCGATATACCTGCCTCCCTCATCCCTACTCCCCTCCTTATTCATCCCCATCACACATTCCCCAAGGCTGTTGGAATGAGGCCGAGTTCAGCAGGGCATTCATCCTCAGCTGAGTTATGCATGTGATTGATATTTGGTCATTGATAATGTTTGTTTTAATTCCATTAATTGATGGAAACATTCAATTTAATTAAATATGTTTTGAATTAGAATGGTTTTAAAAAGTAGTCTTAAGAAAGATATCACACTGAATTCAAAGTTCCTAATGAAATCGATTCAAGTTCGACTTGAATTATTAAAAAAATTGCCACCAAATAAATTGGAAGAATTAACGACAGAATAGTAGTTTTGGCAGATACTTAAATGCTGGGGACGACTTCCGTAGACTTCCATTTAAGCATTTACTCTACTTTTTCATCTGAATTGCAATCAGTACAACTTCAGAGTCATTACAATGCTGTGTTTCCAATACTGATTTATTATCTTATTCTCAGAAACATACTGTGGTAATGGAACTGTTGATAAATTCATCAGAGTTACATATATATAGTAATTTGGTAAATGGACGAAATAATAAAAGACTTCTGATCCCATTATTACCTTTCTTTCATTCTCAAAACTATATGCATCAAAATACTCACGGATCTCCGTATTAGTCCCAATGGTCGGTTGCCACATGCAGAAAGCCCGTCTGCTTCATCCGTTAACCTCATTGCTGACAGGTGGTAATTTACGGTGCTTCCTATTTGTCATTCGCATCACATCTCGTCAGATACAAGCACGTGAACCTTTCACGGACGTCCGGAAAACACTGATGACCCTGACCCCGCCGGTGGCAGCCAATCAGAGCCCGGCCCGCTGACGCTAGGGGATACTTAAGCATTCAACGCGCATCCAGCGCGGCCAGTGAGCAAGAAGTCGGCGTGTATAACGCATTTCGAATATCACGAGAAAGAAGAAATTGAGGATTAGGAATTAATTTTGATGGTTATTTTTAAAAGAAAGATAGAAATCAAATTACACAGAGAAAGATTACTTTTTTGTATTAATGTTTAAGGGCTAACCGTTGTACTTACAAGAGATTCATTTGACACGGAAGCCGCCAGTGCGAAAAAATTTTTTGCAAGAAATCACTTAATCATGAGTTACATCAATAGAATATTTTATTATTTTTAATTAAGAATAAATAAGAGGTTCTTAAAAATCAGCAATGTTCTACGAGTTAAAGTATTGTATCAGCTTCTAGCAAGTGCATAAAAGTTCTGAATCGTTAAGTGCATGGCAATTTTTCTCTGAAATTTTGTTGTTATTGAGTCGTGCATGTAACATTGAGCGGATCAGTGGATGTAACGTTCGCCAGCATTTTTTCAATAATCTCAGAATCAGCTACCACGTATATGAGTGTTTCTAATCATAAATTCTTCTTCCCTTTCAGATATATATAATATTGAATTACGAAATCCATTTGCATGATAGAATCATGCTTAACCCTTGCAGAGCTCCTGCTAGACTTAATGTAGCTCCTTCAGCCATTTTGTCAGCCATGTTGCTCGCGATGTTACCAGCCATACCGTCAGCCATCTCATCAACCATACCAAGAGTGACGCGATCATCTGGTCCAACAGCCAGGCGATCAGCCATTCTACCCGCCATGTTGAATATTGTTCTGACAGCAATTTTGATTTCGAGTGCAAAAACCACCGCGCAAAGTATTGCTATCACGAGGGAGAACGATGCGGTCTCTTATCACGGATACAAACTTTACCGGGCCAGCGTATTTCCAGGTTTGTATTTTAGTACAATATAAATACTTTCTGTTTGAAAAATATAAATACAGTAGTTCTTAGTAATTGATGTGTAGTAATGTACTCCATATTGTTTCCTCCGAACGAGAATCTCGAATAAGAAAATTTTATATGATTTGGGGTATCAACTTGTTCTCTTTTATTTCCTACGAATTTGTCTTCATTAACTATGGCTGCCCTAAGCATATAATTTTGACTATTTAATGATACCATGATATTTTAATACTGTTTATAAAATTTGTAGGCATCTACTTCATATGGTTTCCAACGAACGAGGATCTCGAGTGAGAAAATTATATAAGATCTGGGGTATCAACTTGTTCTATTTTCTTTCATAAGAATTTGTATTAATGAACTATGACTTAGCATATTATTTTGACTATTAATGATGCTGTGATATTTTAATACAATTTACAAAATTATTTTTTCAACGTTGTTTTCATGGTTTCTCCAATCGTCATTGCAGGCCAGCTGCCGATCGTTGACTCGCTGGACGGCGCCGATGGCGTCGAGATCTGGAATTGGTTGTACAAACCCGATAATTTTACGTATGAGATGGACGTGCTCTCCGCCCCTGAGAGGGACAAACAGGTGTGATACGGTGGGATAAGTAAGCTTGAGACTTCTAAGCAATTGGGAATGATTTGTTCATATAAGATGGACGTTCTCTCCACCCCTGAGAGGGACAAACAGGTGTGATACGGTGGGATAAGTGAGCTTGAGACTTCTAAGCAATTGGGAATGATTTGTTCATATAAGATGGACGTACTCTTCGCCCCTGAGAGGGACAAACAGATGTGATACACGAGGATAAGTTAGCATATGACTCCTTTGTTCTAGGGGGACTGATTAGTTTGTATGAGATTGACGTTCTCTCCGCGCTTGATCGAGAGGGACAAACAGGTGTGATACATGAGGATAAGTTAGCATAAGACTCCTTTGCTAGTGGGAGTGATAAGTTCGTATGAAATGGATGTACTCTTCGTCCCTGAGAGGGACAAACAGGTGTGACAAATGAGGATAAGTAAGCATAAGACTCTTTTGCTAGTGGGAGTGATTAGTTCGTATGATATGGACGTACTCTTCGTCCCTGAAAGGAACAAACAGGTGTGATACGGGGGGATAAGTAAGCATAGGACTCCTTTGCCAGTGGGAGTTATTAGTTCGTATGATATGGAAGTACTCTTCGTCCCTGAAAGGGACAAACAGGTGTGATACGGTGGGATAAGTAAGCATAAGACTCCTTTGCTAGTGGAACTGATTAGTTCGTATGAGAGGGACGTAATCTCCACGCCTGAGAGGGACAAACAGGTGTAATACATAAGGATAAGTAAGCATAAGACTCCTTTGCTAGTGGAACTGATTAGTTCGTATGAGATGGACGTTCTCTCCGCGCTTGAGAGGGACAAACAGGTGTGATGCATGAGGATAAGTTAGCATAAGACTCCTTTGCGAGTGGGACTGATTAGTTAGTGGGACGTTCTCTCTGCCCTTCAGCGGTACAAACTGGTGCACAACAGGGGGAACATGTTAGCATAAGATTTATTTGCTAGTGAGACTGACGCGCGACTCGTAATTTCTTACTGCTGCGTGGTACTTTATATCTCGATAGAGCAAATTGATACTAGTTTGAGACTGCGCTGGAAAAAAATTAAATGGAACTAATTGCAGTCAATTGGGCGACATGAATACCAAATGATGAGTGCGTTTCCAAGAATAAATTAAGGCATATTAACTTATGTTTCATCTACAGGTCAAGGAGGTTTTCGATGACGTACAGCTTAAATATGATGTCGTTATTGACGACCTGCAGAAAGAGATTGAGACTGAAAACGTCAACGAGGGCTTCCTTCTCGACAACAGGAATGGGCACCCCATGTCGTGGGAGTCCTATCACAGTTTTGAAGGTAAATGCGCGTACGTTTGAATTGTTGTATTTCTTGTTTTAAGTTTCAGATAACTCAGTTTTCAAAATGCAGGCCATTAGAAAATAAATTTTTGGAAATGACTCAAATTTATATGAAAGCTTTGTTCAAACTTTCAAAATATGTAAGAAACTGAAGCAAATACTTCGAAAAGTGTCATACTTCCCAAATTGATTTCTAAACAAAGATTGATTCTGATCTGGCGTCTCATCAGCTCAAGAATTCAAATTTCACTGAATAATTTTAAATGGCAATTGATCATTTCAGACATGGAAACCTACATGTACTACTTAGAACAGACGTATCCAGACTACGTAACGGTCCTAAACATCGGTTCATCTTTCGAAGGCCGAGATTTGCTTGTCGTCAAAGTTTCCACCTCAGATTCTGGCAACACCTCTCGGCCCGCCATCTGGGTCGACGGAGGTGAGATAAAAGAGAATATTTCAGCACTTGAAGAAGTTGAAATGTTGAAGTTACTTATGTTTGCGCATTTCATGTCCGAACTAATTTTATTATCCGCTACCATGTCAACCTTAGCATATTTTCAATTTTTACTTTTTTCGTAATGCAAATAAATGTTTTGGCGAAGGAAAGATGAGAACCATTTACTCTGTGTCAATTTATGGCTAAGAACGCTAATTTGATCGGGGTTCAGTGTTCAATTATACATTTACATCACAAGGAAAACAAAATTACAAAACACGATGAGTTGAAAGTCCTAACCCCTAACTAATTAAAAAGAGTTCGAGTTATAACATTAGTGTCAATAAGACATTTGTTTTATATGCAGGCATGCACGCGAGAGAATGGGTGTCTCCGGCGGTAGTAAGCTACCTACTGCAGCGTCTGGTGGAGATACCAGACAACTATACCAGTATTGTGGACGCCTTCGATTGGTACATCATGCCCATGGTCAACCCTGATGGTAAATTTAGACTACATGAAAGAAATGGTGTAAAATCAGTTACTGGCATGGATTTTTTCAATTATGTTGGAAGCTTGAGAATTATGCTTCTTTGGAGTATATTTTCCTCTGTCTTATTTCTCATAAACGTTGCTGGGAGTGATATTATAGTTGAGAAACTCAATTGTTGTCATATTTTTGAGTTTGAGTTCATTCTACATTACCGCACAACTCGTGAGTTTTAGAGTAGAATGACAAAAATTATCGCCGAGAATTTTTGACTTCCTTTGTTGAATTTAATAACTGACCTCTACGATTGTCTCAGCTTTTTATCCTAGTTTTCGTAGTGATTTTTCCCGCTCATTGCTAGACTCAAAGACTCAATGTGCTGTATTTTCAAAATTCCCTCAGGGTACGAGTACTCTCGCACGCACGACAGACTGTGGCGCAAGACTCGCTCAAAGCATCACGACAGTCCATGCTTCGGTGCCGACCTCAACAGGTGAGTGTCACTTTCAAGTCCCGCACTCTCAACTGGGACTTTTCCAACGACGATATGGTGAATTTACTTGCGTCTTCTTTGCCTTTAAATTCTGGAGAACTGTTGAAATTGTTAGAGGTCTTGAAATCTCAAGCACCCTCTTCGGTGCCGAACTCAACACGTCAGTCTCACTTTCAAGTCCCGCACTCTCAACTGGGACTTTTCCAATGACGATATGGTGAATTTACTTGCGTTTTCTTTGCCTTTAAATTCTGGAGAACTGTTGAAATTGTTGGAGGTCTTGAAATCTCAAGCACCCTCTTCGGTGCCGAACTCAACAGGTGCATGAGTGTCACTTTCAAGTCCCGCAGTCTAAACTGGGGCTTTTTCAACGACGATATGGTGAATTTACTTGCGTTTTCTTTGCTTTTAAATTTTGGAGAACTGTTGAAATTGTTGGAGGTCTTGAAATCTCAATTAAGCACCCTCTTCAATAGAGCTGGTAGAATCACCTCAAATTGGGGTAAGACTTTCTTAAACTTGGCTACTGCAATATTTTCTAGTAAAGTTATTTAGTCCCTTGCACATTTCCCCGACTTTGACAACTGGTACGCGACATTTTACTAACGCCTTATATTTATTTGAGTTTTCTCGATTGCTTCAGGAATTTCGGCTACATGTGGAACTCAGGAGGTTCATCGGGTGACCCCTGCAGCGACATCTTCAGGGGCGTGAAGCCCTTCTCGGAGCCTGAATCCCGCGCCCTTAGAGATTTCCTGCTTCTGCACCGTGACCAGGTACTAAGTTAATACTTATTTGCTATGACTCACCCTACCATGCTTATGGTGCAATGTGTGAACTTTATGCAGCTATTCTAAACCTCGAATATTTTTCAAATCACTCTCTAGTCTGAAAAATAAACTTCTGTACTTTAAAATTTAATTAGTGGAAGTTATTAATTTCCTAAGGTGAGGGAAACTGACGGTAGGCTGCAGGCTTGGAGTTACGAAACTGATAACGTTCACGGGTAGAGAAAAATTCACTAAAGTTCTGAAATGATAGTTTCAAAACCCGGCAATGTCTTCAGTGGTTTTCCTGGTTTAAAAACCCTGCAATGTTTTTTATTCGCACCTCCCAAGACTAACCTCGACTGTGGCTGCTTAATGGCATTTTATCCTTCTCCCGCCTCTTGCTCCTTTTACTTTCCTATATTTCATTTCTTAACATTCTTCAATGCCTTCAATATTTTTGCTCACTGTCAACGTTTTTTTCTGCATTTTCTTTTCATTTTATTTCTCATAATAAATTTTATTTTCTCAGTGTCCTTTGATACTTCACGCTGGAGTTTTTTTGATTGGAAATTATGATTATTTTCAGAGTATTTTTATGGTAACAAGACTAATTTGTGGAATTTTCTTTCTCTCAATAAATTTTACTACCTCAGTGTTTGTTGATACTTCACGTTGAAGTTTTGTTGAGTTAATATTAGTGTTATATTCAGGGTATTTTTATGGCAAAAAAAATAATTGATGTAACTTATTTGCTTAAATCGCAAGTTAACTAAAAATTTAAGAGCAAAGAAAAGTCCCCAAAAATTCATGTCTTTCTAGAAAACGGTTCGGAATCCAGCTCCATCGTCAGTTCGTAGAATCTAGAATTTACATAGATAGTCACAAATTAGTACAATTGAAAGCGCAGAACACAATTAAAAACCTAAATTTACAACTAGGGCACAAAAAACCTATCTATTCACAATTTCAAGGGGATCAGAGCTAACGGCTGAATTCAAACTGGGCCTAATTTTTAAATTGTACAATGATTCTAAAATACGCAAATCTGAAGTACCGGAGGTGGAAGCTAACACCCTAAAGTCACTGTCAGAAACAGGGACATCACACTGCTCGGCGTGAGCGCGCACAGCCGAATGAGGGGGGCGCGATAGCAACTGTCCGGTCCTACAACTCCTTCCCTTATGCTCAGCAACTTTTCTTTGCTTTTAAATTTTTAGTTAAAAAATTATTTTGGAATTTGGCCGGAAAAGAGACCATCATGCAACCTTGGTTGGTATTATTGCTAATTATCTTCTCAACGTCCTTTTTGCACCCCCAGCTGAAGGTGTACGTGTCGATCCACGCCTACAAGCAGCTGTGGATGTACCCGTGGGGGCACACGAATGAGACATCAAAACAAATAAGACACCGCTGAAAATTCCGTGTCTTCTATGTACTTCAAAATTTTGCGCGTGAATAAAGAGGCAAATAACATTTCATCATATTTTTCTTTGAATTTTACCAACTGGGGCAAGAGCCTATTGGATAATAAATAAGTAGAGTAGTCTGTTGGTTAAGTAATATTCTAAGTAAATAATAATATTTCATTAAATATTAACAATATTAATAGAATGATACAGAAAATAATAACCGTTAAATTGATAATTGTTGAAGGAGTTTTAAAATGTGATTTTGAAACTGTAAAGTATGTTTTTGAAGTCATGCCTTTTGTTGGTGTCGTAGTGAGAAAAATGTTATTTACATACTATAAATAAGATTTTGTACTAATGTCGAGCCAAATTCCATCACTCAATGCGCCTTTTAACTTGATAATGAATGATAGAAACATTTGAAACGTCGTTAGAGAAATAAAAATGTCCTTCGGTAATCCGATTTCCGATTTACCCGTGCAAACTAAAAATCTTGTTCGATCTATTGAAAAAACTAATAAGAAAACTATCAATTAAACGAATTCTCTGGTCTTCAATGAAACCTGCTTAAAGGAACAAATTTTGCCAACATATACTAATATAAATAAGATATGCCTTATCCTGACAGATATCATCACGGCAGGATGGCTGACATGCTGTACGTCATCTCAGGCTCCTCTAATATCTGTCTAATATCTGTCAGCTGTCTAATCTCTAATATCTAATATCTGTCAGCTGTCTAATCTGATATCTGTCTATCCTGACAGATATCATCACGGCAGGATGGCTGACCTGCTCTACGTCATCTCAGGCTCCTCTAATGACTACGCTCACGGCCACCTCGGCATCCCGTACTCCTTCGCCCTCGAGCTTAGGGATCGAGGTGAGGGATGAGGGGTTGTAGGGGAGTGAGGGATAGAGGTGAGGGGTGAGGGGTTGTAGGGGAGTGAGGGGTTGTAGGGGAGTGAGGGATATAGAGGTGAGGGGTGAGGGGTTGTAGGGGAGTGAGGGATATAGAGGTGAGGGATGAGGGGTGTAGGGGAGTGAGGGATAGAGGTGAGGG